ATGAATTTGTTCCTCTGAAAAAGTATCGTCCGCGTGCCCCATATGGTTCAACAGTAAATTGAAACAAACTATTTTTGAGAAAACAATTGTTCATAGGGAGTATGAAAATGACAATATAGAAGCATATAATCGGTTTCAATTTCTCAGGGAACGGTGTAAACTCTTACGAGATGAATGATATCGTGATTATATTATTAGAACTGAAAATGACATTTCTTCTATTCCTCGCCATTTCTGGAAATTCATTAATGATAAGAAAAAGTCCCACAGTCTTCCATCTCGTATGGCATATAACGATATATGTAGTGATAATTGTGATGGAATAGTTAATCTGTTCTCTGACTATTTTTCGACCGTTTACGACAATACAACAATTGATCAAATCCCTCACTATCACTTCAATAACACTGTTGACGTTTGTACTTATACTATTGATATCAAAGGAGTTATTGATTTGGTACTGTCATTACCTTTGAAGTTGTCAACTGGCCCAGATGAGATCCCTTTGTATTTACTAAGAAAATGTATTTATACTTCAGAAAAAACCTATTCACTTGCTGTTCAATTCATCTCTTGAGAAGGGGAAGTTACCTAACAACTGGAAACACAGTTTCGTCAAACCTATTCATAAAAGTGGTTCACGGGAGGATGTAAGCAATTATAGAGGTATTTGCAATCAGTCAGAGTTCCGGAAAATGTTGGATTGTTTGATGATTAGAAAACTATCATGGGATTTTAAAAATACAGGCTGATCCACGGTGGATGGCCTATTAGAAGTATCTGGAGAACGAAAAAACAGAACATTCTGAAAATTGGTATGCTCCGATAATTGAACATTCTCTATCCGTCTAAAATATTTTCATCAATACAGTGTTGCCACTTCTATCAGAAACAACTAGCTACTTTGTTATTCCGAATGGAACACCCTGTATTTTATTGCATTTTTCGATTCTTTCTGAAGAGCTGATTCCATCAATGCATCACACTTGGGGTCTAGCAGGAATGATTACAGAGATATAGGGTGTTCAAAATCGAGAATTTTCAATTTTAGGAATTTTTTGTGTCGATACTATTCATTATCGATCAAAACGGCTTACATGTCCCTATCTTAACTTTTGATTCACTATCTACTGGAAATCAATTGGAAAGAATACAGGGTGATTCAAGATTAAGAATTCTGATCACCCTGTATCTGTTCCAATTAAATGTCAGTAGATAGTGAATCGAAAGTTAATATAGGGACATATAAGCCGTTTTGATCGATAATAATAATAATAATAATAATAATAATAATAATAAACGTCTATATTTGATTTAATGTTTATACAAACATTTGGCAGAGCGAAGTTTAGCCATCATGGCTACTCTTACACCTAACCCTGCACATTTATAATACATAATACATAAACTTAACATACTTTAATCACTAAGTGCAGATGACTTGCAATTATTCAATTTTTTCTATAATGAATGAATGTAAATAAATATAGTTTAATTTCAAATGGCATTTTGTTCGAGCAATAAATGTAATTTGAGGCGTTTCTTGAAGGAATGAATAACATTGATTTTGAAAGATGAATCAAGTGAATTGTACAATTTCACAGCATTATAAGAAAAAGATTTCTGGTACAAAGCTGTCGAATGGCGTGGTATATCCAATGTGTTGTTAACTCTTAAATTCACATAATGTTGTTGGTTACGAAATATTAATTTGTTTCTTAAATAGATTGGAATTGACGTAATCAGCAAACGATGAACAAAAATAAGACAATGATATTTCCACAAAAACTCAATATTTAGCCATCTGAGTGCACGAAAACAGTGACTGATATGATCAAATTTTCTGAGACCATAGATGAAACGACAACAGGTATTTTGTATTTTTTGCAATCTTGTCTTAGTAACTGAGTCTAGATAAGGATAAAAAATTATAAGACAATACTGAAGAATTGGCAAGACGATAGTTTCACACAGTTTCTTTCTTAGGGAAAAATTCAAAATATTTTTATTTACAAAAAGGAGTTTTAGTGACAGATATGATTTTTTTACTAAATTATTTACCTGGCTCGTAAACTTGAAGTCAATATCCATTATCAGTCCAAGATTCTTAGCTTCAGTAACCAGTGGTATGAGAACGTTGTCAATATGAAGAATAATTTCATTTCTAATTATTTCGTAAATATGCTTCGCGCAAAACAGCATAGCTAATGATTTCTTAGGATTCAGTTTCAGAGCATGTTTTTCACAATAATTGTTTAGGAGTTCCAAGTCACTGTTCAGCCTTTGAACTGCAACAGGAATATTTTCTATATCAAAACTGTATTTTATTTGGGTATCATCTGCATAAGATTGCATTTCACAAAACTCAATATTTCTATATATATCGGCAGTGTATACGAGAAAAAGTAGTGGTCCCAATATGGAACCCTGTGGTACCCCTGACCTAACATGACCTGGAGAAGATATGCCTTTACATGTACGAACTTTCTGTGTTCGATCGGCAAGATAGGAGGAAAAGAATTCGACTGCGATATTGTCCAAACCGTAATACTTTAATTTTGAACAAAGTAACTTATGGTCGACAGTGTCGAATGCTTTCGAAAAATCCAATAGCACTAGCACTGTCGCCTTTTTTCTGTCAATGGCTGTTATAATATCATCATTTATTTTTATTAATGCACTTGTGGTACTATGTCCACGTCTAAAACCTGATTGATGTGATGGAATAATATTGTTTTGTGATACATAATTTTGTAATTGACTATTTACGAATTTTTCCAAAATTTTGCTTAAAACTGGCAACAAACTTATTGCTCGTAAATCGCAATAATCTGATGGATTATGGTTCTTAGCTATAGGGTTTATAATTGCATTCTTCCACCCAGATGGGAAATAACCAATCTCCAGGCAGCAGCCAATAATATGAGTTATATAGTCCAATATCGCAGTCGAGCACAGCTTAATCATATATAATGATATGTTATCAATACCACTGGCGTTAGATTTGATGCTATTAATGATTTCTAATATTTCCATTTGACTGGGAAGACGAAAACTGAATTTCATATTTGGTTTACATGTATTACTATTGTAAAAATTAACTAAACCTTGATCGGCTTGTACTGTATTGAAAGAGGATAAGAATGTATTGTTTATTATTGATGGGTCAGTTAGATTATCAGGAAGCCCGGTATTCGGTTGTCTTTGAATTTTCATTTTTTTAAGAACTTTCCACATGTCAGATTTATTGTTTTGTTGTAAAAACTTCAAATATCCTGCTTTCTCTCTACGTATTGCAGCAAGCGTATAGTTGCGTAAATGTTTATATTGCTGCCAGTTTTCTTCGTTTTTTTCCCTTCTATATTTGGCAAGAGCTTTGTCTCTTTCACTCATGATAATTTTGACAGTATCTGTCAACCAAGGCGCATGAGCGCGACACAAAAAACTCCTGAAATTGAAAAATCTCGATTTTGAACACCCTATAATCTGTAATCATTCCTGCTTGACCCCAAGTGTGATACATTGATGGAATCAGCTCTTCAGGAAAAATCTAAAAATGCAATAAAATACAGGGTGCTCCATTTAAAATAACGAAGTTGCTAGTTGTTTCTGATAGGAGTGGCAACACTGTATCAATGAAAATATTTTAGACGGATAGAGAATGTTCAATTATCGAAGCATCCCATCTTTCAGAATGTTCTGTCTTTTCGTTCTTCAGATACTTCTAATAGGCCACCCACCGTGGATCACCCTGTATTATATCTAACCAACAACATGGTTTCTGTCGGGGTTGATCAACATCAACAAACCTGTTGCTTTATCGAAACTATATCATCAAATCATTAGAGAATGAGTTGCAAGTAGACTCTATTTACACATACTTTTCTAAAGCCTCTGATAAAGTTAACCATGGTCTGTTACTTGCAAAACTTGAAGCTCTGGGTATAGAGGCGAATATCTTAAGTTGGATCAGAAGCTATCTCACTAGTAGAGTCCAGTATGTGAAATATGGGAACTCAGTTTCACAATCAATCGACGTACCATCAGGTGTACCACAGGGATCTCACATGGGACCTCTGTTATTCAATCTTTTTGTTAATGACCTCTCTGATGTCATCATCAACAGTTCCTTTATGATGTTTGCCGATGACCTGAAGATGTTTAGAACGGTTCAATGCATTTCTGATGCTGAGAGTTATCTTTATTTATTATTATTTTTTTTTAATATCAAGCTTAAAGAAATTGTTTTGTACATTAGGATGTATCCTACCAATAAAGATTTCATTCATTCATTCAGAGTTTGCAGCTCGATCTAAATAACTTTTCCAGATGGTGCCATATCAATTTACTTTCTGTTAATGCTGTTAAAATTATTTATTGTGCACAGGTGAGGTCTATTCATGAATATAATTCTTTGATCTGGTCACCATTTTACAAAGTTGATTCTGATCTTTTAGAGGGTTGTCAAAATACATTTTTAAGAAGTTGTGCATATTGCATGGGATTCAATAGGGATGAATATACCTATCCACAAATATTAGATATTTTAATCATGAATACGTTGGTACATAGAAGAATGGAAATTGATCTATTTTTCCACTATAAAATTATCAATGGTGTCATTGATTCTCCTGAAATTGTTGCTCTGATTACGCTTTCCGCAAATAATAGAAGAAATAGAAATAGTGAAATTTTCAAGATACCATTTCTGTAGGATAAATTATGGCCAAAATGAATCCATGAATAGAATTATGAGAACAGCAAATTCGCACAATTACCAAATTGAACTATTCAATTCATCTTTATTGTCTCTCAGGAAAGCGATAAAAAACTGTTAATCACTCTTTTCATAATCCTCATCTTTCTGTTCGTTTTAGCCTTCTACATTTTTTTGTGTTATATAGTCTTCTTGTATAATTGTATAATTGGCTTGTCCGTTAATAAATAAATAAATAAATAAATTCTGGAGAAGAAAATGCTAATTGTTATTATTGCTGCAGGAGTTTTCTTGGGAATGGATCCACAGTTGGTACTCGTGGACCCCGAATACGTGAGGACCATTTTGATCAAGGACTTCAACAGCTTCGTGGACCGTGGAATCTATATGACTAAAAACGATCCAGTCACTGTAACTTTGTTTTCCCAGAAGGGCCAAGACTGGAAGAATTCGAGGGTAATTATTGTGAAATTGAAATTTTCATCTTTTCATTTCGAATCGATTTCATAATAGGTATAATATACTTACGTATAAAAGGTTCACCAATATGTATATTAGTCCACACTATAATACATACTTAAAAAATGTCGGAAGAAACAACTCTCGGCCACAAGAAGTACTCATGAGCTTCATTTAAAAGGGGAGGGTGGGGCAATTTCCTCTCATGATTTTCTCAACAGTAAAAACAAGATCGGATAAATTTCTCTCCTAACGAAAACATTTGCCAATCAGTAATTTCTCGAGAAAAACTGACATGAAAAAATTTGTCTATAAGTAATTTCAATAACCTCACTGGATAAATAGTTTCATCGATTTGATTTTTTGTTATCCATTTGCTGTCTGCCAATCTTTTTGACCCACCTTGTGCCGTATTAGAAAATATTGTATTATATTCTATTCTACCTGTAGTAGTTCCATCTTGATTATTCTCTTCTTTGAAATAGTATATTTTACAGTTCACAGCTTCTCCTCCCCTCCAAGCTAATTCATAAGAAGCTATATGGAAAAATCTTTTTTCTACAAACGTCAAAAAATGACAAGGTTCGCGCATTGATAACAAACTGCGAAGTGACACTTTTTTTCAGTTTCCTACTTTACCACGATACCTTGCATAAAACAATGTGCGAAGTAAAACAGTGCGCGAAGTACCTACTTCGCGCATTGTTATGTAAAATATATGAGTTAATTATTTTTCAACTTCATGGTCCTCAATCGAGCAAACATCCACGAAATCAATCATTTCTAAATGTTCAACAATAACTTTGTTTTATCTCTTGGAGCGCACAAAAGGAAATTACTATCATATGTTCGTGGAACATCGTGCGTACCTTGGGATGATAGGGAGAGGCCTTTTAGGCCAGTTCAACACTATTTTTTATATCAAGCTAAGCATATTCTCACTTTAGAACTATATTTTTTGACGTTTGTAGAAAAAATTTTGTTTGCAACTCGAGCGCGAAATACTTTGGTCATCTCGACTATTTTTTAACTCGGCTCCGCCGAGATCTCGATCATCAAAGTAGCATTTCGCGCTCTAGATACAAAAATAACTATTTTGCAATCCATCTGGTTAATTTACATTCCATAGTTTGGCCATTTTTATGATATCTTTCTAATCTATTGCAACAGAACCTAACTTTCTTTTATCCGGAATAGCTTGTAATTCTTTCAGTTTACTATTTCTTGCATCACGAGCTTCTTTGAAAGTTATATCGGCAATAGGATCAACTTTGATATTGTACTCACTGAAATATTTTTCTTGAATCATCTTCGCAGTCGAATTCCAGATTGTTTGCAAAGCATATTCCTTGTAATCATCTCCATTTCGCTTCTTCATGTTATACGCCCAATCCTTCAAAATGTCTGCTATTTGGGGCACCGGTGTTTTTTCTCCCAATTCGTAATTTCTTGCTTCACAAAACTCCATGAATTGTCTCCAAATCGACGATTTTGTGTTTTCAGTTGCTCGCGGAATTATTTTTTATACATTTCGAGATTTCTTCCGAAGAAATTTCTCCAAATCGGCTCATTTTGCGTATTTTCGTATTATACAATACCTACCCATCAAACATGACAAGACAGAAATTGAAGTGACGGTCGCATACTCGATGAAGGAACATGCATTTTTACAGCGATAAAAAAGGATGCACCTTTTTTATCGATGTCAAAATGACTCACGTCGTCTTCAAATAGGGTTTTCCGTGTAGGAGTTGATTTATCTAAATAAATATGTCACAGAAAATCTTCCTGTAGCATAACACATACAACGCGATATACGGGTAATTTACCAAGTGGCTCACCCCTTTAACTCCTTTATTATTGAAGGTAGTAGAACGAAATTTGGAATTGGTAAATAATAGTTCAATTGACATCATTTGACATATCTACTCGCTTTGCCATACCGGTTTGAACAAAAATGACCTCAACTTCTGATTCTTTCATGCCTTAGACCTCCTTTGCCCTTCCCCCCTCCTGAATCCGCCACTGGACAGTCAATTCATATTTGCTATAGTGTAAAACATATAATTTCTTCTCCAAATGTTGTGTAAAACCAACTTTGTGTAAAGGAATATTCTCAGATAAATTATGAACATACAAAAAAGGATATATATTGATATAAAGCAATACATTGAGAATTCGCATTCTCTATGTGATGAGAATATTTACTCTTTTTCAGTTAATTCAATAGAAAACAACTACTGTAAGAATAAGTGGACATCATGGTTACTGATGAGGATTCAGAGATCCGAAATGGGTTCATTGCAATAAAGTCATATAACCTGTGTGTGAGAGATAATATTTCCCATATCACTGATATGAATGATTTTTTTTGGACGTTTTCAAGCTCATCAAGATCAGAGTTCATGCCAGTATACTTCTCCTATACATTCCAATTTTCATTTCAATGCTGAATATATTGGTAAGTCATATTTCTAGATCATTATTCATCATATTATTCATCCGATTTGAAGAAGAATGTCAATTCTCAATTTCGGAGGATTTTATTCTTTATTTTTCATGTTCTCTTTTGAATGTTCATCAAATATAATTCAATGTTCGACGTGGCAAATAGCCAGGAAAGTAGTTGTTTTCTGTTGAATATTCAGAATGATGTGTGTATATACATATTTTTGTCTGAAGGAGAATGCAAATTCTCAATTTCAGAATTTTTTATATTTTATTTTCAAACTCTTATCGTGTGTGTTCAATAGATATAATTCAATGTTCGTCGTGGCATATAGCCAGGAAAGTAGTTGTTTTCTATTGAATTAACTGAAAAAGAGTAAATATTCTCATCACATAGAGAATGCGAATTCTCAATGTATTGCTTTATATCAATATATATCCTTTTTTGTATGTTCATAATTTATCTGAGAATATTCCTTTTCAACACTTTCATACCCAATCAGGGGGTTCAAACTTGAACGATGGAAACTTGTGATTTTTATAGACTTCTAATCGCAGATTCGTGATAGAGTCTCAATTCAGAATTCATTTCCACGCCCTGTATGATGAATGTCAATTTATCATACACCCAAAAGCAAAAACGTCCAAATGACAGGAATAGAATGTCAACAAATTTCTCAGATGTCATTTCGTTATATTTTTACTCGATTTTAGTTGTATTATATAGAGATGAAAATTGTGTATATCATGAAGAATGGCTGTAAGAATAAGTGGACATCATGGTTACTGATGAGGATTCAGAGATCCGAAATGGGTTCATTGCAATAAAGTCATATAACCTGTGTGTGAGAGATAATATTTCCCATATCACTGATATGAATGATTTTTTTTTTGGACGTTTTCAAGCTCATCAAGATCAGAGTTCATGCCAGTATACTTCTCCTATACATTCCAATTTTCATTTCAATGCTGAATATATTGGTAAGTCATATTTCTAGATCATTATTCATCATATTATTCATCCGATTTGAAGAAGAATGTCAATTCTCAATTTCGGAGGATTTTATTCTTTATTTTTCATGTTCCCTTTTGAATGTTCATCAGATATAATTCAATGTTCGACGTGGCAAATAGCCAGGAAAGTAGTTGTTTTCTGTTGAATATTCAGAATGATGTGTGTATATACATATTTTTGTCTGAAGGAGAATGCAAATTCTCAATTTCAGAATTTTTTATATTTTATTTTCAAACTCTTATCGTGTGTGTTCAATAGATATAATTCAATGTTCGTCGTGGCATATAGCCAGGAAAGTAGTTGTTTTCTATTGAATTAACTGAAAAAGAGTAAATATTCTCATCACATAGAGAATGCGAATTCTCAATGTATTGCTTTATATCAATATATATCCTTTTTTGTATGTTCATAATTTATCTGAGAATATTCCTTTTCAACACTTTCATACCCAATCAGGGGGTTCAAACTTGAACGATGGAAACTTGTGATTTTTATAGACTTCTAATCGCAGATTCGTGATAGAGTCTCAATTCAGAATTCATTTCCACGCCCTGTATGATGAATGTCAATTTATCATACACCCAAAAGCAACTTTGTGTAATTTTCTTATTGAAAACTCATTAAAATTTCCTGAAATGTTGCATAGCAACAAACTTTTCCTGCTTAGGCAGAGGAAGAACACCTTTCCTGCCTGTTGATTGTCAGAGAAAAGCCACTTTCTGTGCCGCTTGGTGAAAAAAGTGATTTTCTGTATTCGACTCAAAAGTTCCATTTTTGTTCCAAAATTTGCTCTGGAAGTTTGCGCTTCTCTTACCGACACGATGAAAGGATTAGTATGTATATTGATAGGCAACGCTTTTGGTGTCTAGGAGGTAAAGTTGAAGTTTAACTCTTAGGAACTAAAAGTGTGTCAGATGACAGCTGATATGATATAGCTGCTTTCACATTGGCATGCGCAAGTGAGTCTGTTTGACTCACAAAATTTGCGTGCTCGGCTTCGCGGTCGCTCCGCTTCGCAATCGCAAATATCACTTGTCAAAGTGTCACATTTGATCCAAATAAAAAATGTACTTGATCAGTGCAAAAAAACAACAATTTAGTGCGAACGAAGAAGTTAGGTTCAAAGGTATTCAACCTGTTTGATATATTTTTTACACAAACTCCGAGATTTGTTTTCCTTATTTCCTTTACTGTATTAGGCACACAAATGTAAGTTTGTACACCAAATTCATTAACAATGAGCCAATAAAGGAAAGGTATTCTGAAAATCATAGATCAAAACAACAGTTTTCTTTGTCTTCAATAGGTTGATATTTGGACAGAGATGCTTTCTTTCGAAACATTTTTGTCAATGGAAAAAGCTCATTCGCTGATTGTGATAGTATACATATAATTATAGCTATTTGTGTATTTAGAGCGCAAAGTGATAGATTGCCGCTCGACAAAGAAAGTTACGCGATGCGGAGCGGAGCGCGGTAATCTTTGGAGAGCGGCAATAACACTTTGTGCTCGAAATACACACAATATTTTTTCTACTAACGCAGCTTTTGGAAATAACAACCCTGAAAGTATGAGCGATTGAAATAGTTGAGAAAGTTCTTATCCATATTATCCCATATGTCCAAAGGAAACAAAAAAAGAAAAATTGAAATAACTGACAAGCCAGAAAAAAAATGTCGGGCCTACCGAGAATTGAAACTGGACCACCAGCGTGGCAACCTGAGCTTCAGACCTCTGAGCCATAGTACGATAAACTCTGCAATCAAATTGAACATTACTCATTGATGCGATAAAATAAAGATACACTGTCATTCTGATGACAACAAAGAGTTTAAATATTAAGTATAATTCACCGTTTTCAACAGATATGCTTCATCGGGATCTTCTTGTAGAAATTTGTTGGTATATATCTTCAGCGGTGAATGTTTTGGATTTTTGTCACTTTATATCCAATAGATTGTTTCTTGAGAAATGCGATAAGTTTCAGATACTTATTGATTCCGATATTATCTTTAACATTCAAGCATGTATGCGTACCATCGAATATATAGACCAATGAGTTGATGACTTCAAAGTCTTTGATTATTTACCAAAATAAGCCAGTAAAACGTTTTCTGAATACATATTCACCATCTGGGAGTGGCACCAATTTATGAATGTATCATATTGTAATTCATATTTCTTCATTTTACTTGGTTCTTTGGGATTTTCTCTCCTCTTTTCTATAAAATAAAAGTATTCGTATTATTTCAATATATTTGTAGAGGGACAAATCAGATGATTTGCCCCAAAATGTCACTGCGTTTAACAAATTTTTCTATCAGGGAGTCTAAAAGAAAAATCCAGTAGCTTGTCAGTGACAATTTGTTTGAAAAAATTATTGAAGGAAAGAAATATAGATATATTGAAAAAATATCGAATTTGTACTTATCTTTGGACGTTTCGGGACCGATATTTTTTCAATATATCTATATTTCTTTCCTTCAAAAATTTTTTCAAACAAATTGTCACTGACAAGCTACTGGATTTTTCTTTTAGACTCCCTGATAGAAAAATTTGTTAAACGCAGTGACATTTTGGGGCAAATCATCTGATTTGTCCCTCTACAAATATATTGAAATAATACGAATACTTTTATTTTATAGAAACGAGGAGAGAAAATCCCAAAGAACCAAGTAAAATGAATGTACCACCTCCTCGATTAACCTACAGACAGTATTCATATTTCTTCCTTGATTTCACCGGAGATTGAAACTCTTGCGCTTTCTGCTATATCATCAGGAAGGAGGTGTGTTTGATGATTCACTGTCACTATTTTCCATCATGAAAGAATTGGGGGTTTTCAAGAATAGATAAGTATAGGTTACAGAGATGTGCGAGCGTTTTTCCAATATTTCCGCTCACGAGCGCAAATGCTGTTGTCAAAGAATGACATTTCTGGGAAAACGTCAACTTTGTGCTGGAATTTGAAAGCGTCAAAGGCTACTTTGTTAAGCGTTTGTAAAAAAAATCTATTTCATTTTGTTTCAGAATAAATTCACCAGCGTCTTCACATCAGCAAAAATTAAATCAATGTACGATACTTTGAAAGGATGCAGTACAAATATGATATCAACATTGGACGAGAGCGCAGAAAGAAATCTTGATGTTGATGTTTTGGAAATTATGGCTCGTTTCACTACTGATGTAGTTGGTAATGCAATATTTTCTCTTATAATACCACGAGAGCTTCAAATTTTCTCGAGAACACGAATACTCCGAAAATTTTCCAGAGTCGAATTTTTTGAATATTCGTGTAAGAATTGCCGGTTCATAAAACAAAAACTTGACTAGTATTTGGTGAGAAAATTTCACTTCAAAATTACTAAAAATTGCTAGGATGGGATTACGCTAAATGAAACACAAAATACCGACTTCAGTTACAACAAATAATAAGGTAGGTGATGGTAGTTCAAACTACTATTCTTGACTAACTTCATTCCACTTAAGTTGGTGGTAATATATTTCGATACAAGGAACTCGACAGTATATGCAATATTGATATACAGAGTGTCCCAAAATTGCTGGGACAAACAAACCTACCACTTGTAATACAGTTCAAAATGAGTTGATTGGAAGTTTCTGACGTTCATAGGTTAAATGACATTCACATTTGACTTACGAAACGTTACGTTACGTCGAATCCATTCTATAAGTTGGTTGATAATATCCTTGTAAGGAAATATATTTCTACCAACTTTTGCTTAATGAATTTGTGAAAAACTGAGAGATTGAACTACTATCATTTTTTTTTCATTGTTTCATTTAACTAAAGTTGTTTCAGGCTCAGTTTCGATCATACCTTTGAAGTGGTTATAAAAAGCCGCCCTAGGTAAGGTTCCGCTGAGCCTCAGCTGGACAGAGGGTCCCTTGTTTGGTACACCGATGGTTCGAAAATGGAAGAAGGGGTAGACGCGGGTGTATATGGACCCGGATGTAGGCTATTTGAAGCCTTAGGTCACTCTTCCACTATCTTCCAAGCTGAAATATATGCCATCAACCTTTGCGCCCAAAGGTGCCTGAGCAAAGGTCTGAGGGGTGCCAACATATATATCTGCTCAGACAGCCAAGCCGCACTAAAAGCCCTAAAATCATTCGTTTCCACATCGAAGATTACATGGGACTGCTTTGGAACACTCATGCAACTGGGAAAGGGCAACAAAGTCACACTTATGTGGGTTCCAGGGCATGAAGGAATCAAAGGAAATGAGGCAGCTGATCGCCTTGCAAAAAAAGGTGCAGCATCTGCACTTTTTGGTCCTGAGCCTTTTTGTGGGATAAGCAAATGTCACCTAAAGGGAGAACTCGGGAAATGGGAAGAAATTGAAAAGTCCTCCCACTGGAGAGCAACTTCAGGTCAACAACAAGCGAAAAGGTTCATCAACCATTCGCAGAACCGAGCCAAAGAGCTACTCAGCCTCAGCAAACCAGAGCTAAAGCTTATCACAGGCTTCCTCACAGGACACGGCCCTCTGAGGTACCACCTCAGGAAGATGGGTCTGGCGGAGACTGACACTTGCCGCTTTTGTAACAATGCGACCGAAACCGCGGAACACATACTTTGCTCATGTGAAGTATAAGTCCGCCAAAGGCTGAACCACCTAGAACAGGTCTATCTCACCCCTGCTGATGTGGAAAAGTCAACCGTCAGGAAAATCGTAGGCTTCATCAGAAGTCTAGGGTTAGAGGACCACAACTAGATAGGGGTAATCACAATAGATCTTCTAGGTCGCAGTGATCGAGAGGTCTCCCAGCCTTTACGACCCATCTACAATCTACAACTAAAGTTGTTCAATCATGTTTTATTCAACCTAATATAATTATGTGAGCAAATTTCATGAATACTGAATAGTACTCCGAGTTTCTTGTGAGAAAATAAATTTCTTCCAACTTTAGCATAATCATATTGTGCAAAATTGAGGAATTGGGCTACCGCATCAACTCATTTTTCATTATTCTCTGGTTACTAAAGTGAGTTAATCATGTTTTATTTAACCTAACGATGCTATGGATATGGATTATAATAGTTCTACATACTCTGTCGAGTTCCCTGTTCCACCAGCTACCTCATCAATATTTTGCGTAACTAAAGTCGGTATTTTGGATTTCATTTAGCATAATCTTTGATTCTCAAAATATTCTTATTCTTAAAAAAATTCCGGTCATAATTGAAGCTCTCGTGATATGTGAAAACTCCATCATTTTGTATTCTCCCAATGTCAGCGTCAATTTTGATTACCAATTTCATTCAAATTACTTAGGAAGTTGCATAGCAACAAACTTCTTTCTCAACTAGGAGAAAGCCAAATACTCGAAGTGGAACGCAATGGTCACAAAGAGAGAGAAACTCAAAGTCATTACCACGATAGTTCATAAAATAAACGAAAATGGTAGATAACGAGAAAAAAATAACTACTTTCCTGGCTATATGTCACGCAGAACATTGAATCACATCCTCCCGAAATCTATGCAATAATTCGTATGGACGTGAACACCGAGCTCTGCGCCTAAGTGATTCAGGAACGCGTGACTACCCGCAGACTGGTTTCGAGATGTTGGCTCTCATCAGTGCAGGATTGTCCCAGATAGCTTCTTAACCGCTATCTAGTGCGAACCTGACCCAACGTAAACGCATCTCAGCATTTATACCCCACGAGGCGTTCAACGTCCGCGAAATGAACGCGAACGCCGAACGCCACCTGGTAAGGAAAGAAACACTCCAAAACAAGATCCCATTTCAAGTGAAATGGAAGTGGCCACAAAGAGAGAGAAACTCGAAGCCATTACCACAAAAATTCATAAAATAAACGAAAATAGTAGATAACGAGAGGAAAACCACTACTTTCCTGAAGATATGCCACGCAGAACATTGATTTATATCCTCCCAAAATCTATGCAATAATTCGTGATGACGAATGAAATCGCAAGTATTTCCTCCCTACACGCCAAGCTGCGCCTAAGTGGTACCTGCAGACCAGTTTCGAGCTGTTGGTTCGCATCAGTTCGAGCCAGATAGTGGTCGAGAAGCTATCTGGGTAAGTGCACTAAGTGCATATCGGCGTTTAGGAAGGAAACACTTGCGATTAATTATTGCATAGATTTCGGGAGGATGTTATTCAATGTCCTACGTGGCATATAGCCAGGAAAGTAGTTGCTTTTCTCTCGTTTCTACCATTTTCATTCATTTTATGAACTATTGTGGTAATGACATTGCGTTTCTTCCTCTTTGGAAACTTATTTCTGCCTATGCAGAAAAAGTCCACCTTTGTTGCCTGTTAATTTTTATTCTATGCCGTCTGGAGAAAAATAAAATTGATGACATATACGAAGTACCTCATTGCTTTATGGAACACACTAAAACAAGAGCAATTTTCAACTGCTAAACATCATAACTAAGAGATCTAGGATGAACAGAGTTGCCCCAATTGTCAGCAGGAGCGAGACAGTACTGTTTCGACCCACCAGGTCTCATCAGCCGCTCTCGGTCTGCTGACAACTGGGACAACTCTACGCTTCGGGTTTATCAACCATTTCGAAGACGAAGGGTATAACATGAAGTTGTAGTCATGTTGTAGCCATCTTGTGGCAAAGCTCTAAGGTAGGATACAGAGATACCGCGACATACACTGTATGGCGCTGGTATCTATAGTCACACGTACAGACCCCTACGTCTATACGCTACAGAGTGGTACTACAAGTAAATCACTCTGCTGACAGATGGCACTACCTGACATACTTGAGTGGAATTTTTCCACCACCTATTCAACTGCTAAATCTCATAACTAAAAGATCTAGGATGGACAGAGTTGCCCCAATCGTCAGCAGGAGCGAGACAGTACTGTTTCGACCCACCAGGTCCCATCAGCCGCTCTCGATCTGCTGACAACTGGGACAACTCTACGCTTCGGATATATAACTCATTTCGAAGACGCAGGGTATAACATGAAGTTGTAGTCATGTTGTAGCCAGTACAGTGTATGTCGCGATATCTCTGTATCCTACCTTAGAGCTTTGCCACAAGATGGTTACAACATGACTACAACTTCATGTTATACCCTGCGAAGAGCAATTTTGTGTTGAAGCCGTAGAAAAATTGATATTCCACATCCTCGATACACTTCTAGATAAAATTTGTGAATGTTGATGTAGGTATCCTTTTTAGGGTCGGTGATCTTTGGGGTGGAATGCAACTGTTTCAAAAATCCAGATGCGGAATTCCGAAGGATCGGAAAACATCTCTTCGATGAGTTTACTTTGATGGATCTGTTGAATTTGTTCGCGACGATATTTTTCCCCAATATGGCAGGGTTATTGGGAATTTCAAATATACAACCCGACGTATCGAAGTATTTCAGTAGAATCATCAGAGAGACGGTGGAGTACAGAGAAAAAAATAATGTGGTCAGAAAAGACTTTCTAGATCTATTGATCCAATTGAAAAACTCGGGACAACAAATTACTGTGGAGGATATAATCGGACAGGTGAGTTACTGAAGATTGAAACGGTAACGGTAAGATAAGATAATACCACGAGTCCTTCAAATTTTATCTATAGTTTCTTCAATTTTCCAGGAACACTTTTTTAATTGACAAAAATATGATAACAAAGTGAAAAATCACGAGACAACTATTTGCAGCGAACACAGTTACATCGCGAAGATGTTGTCGCGATGTCTTGTCTAGGCCTGCGATGTCGCATTGTGAGTCGCGAGCATTTAGAAGTCATATCCTCGCGACTTACTTTTCTCCTATAAGCATGTTTCCTGCTGTCGACGTCCATGCGATGTAGATCTGAGACGTCGAGAATATTCACAAAATACTAACGAATATAAATTAAATAAATATTCCTTTCACAGTGAACATAGCGTGCTAACCCAATGAGCACAGTGACGTTGAAAAAACGTTGCAGAATGGTTTGAAACCGAACGTTTATAAGGGGTATTTCTCAAACGTTGATTCAACAAAAAATTGTCACACGATAAAATGTTGTTTTCAACAAAATTACCTACTAGAAATAAACGTATTTTGATAACGTTCTTTCAACTTGAGTATCAGCGTGACATAAACGTAATGTTTCGTCGTTTCATAATTGTCGATAATGAAGGTTTATTCCACGTTCAATTGACGTTTGAGAATGACGATTTGAACAAGTTGATAAAATAAGATTTTTCAACGTTTATTTTGGATCAATTTTCAATCGTCGAATTGACGGTTTTTCAAACGTTACTCAAACGTTTCAGCTAGATTACTTATCGTTATTTTTGTATCCACAATGAATTTATTCATGATTTTCATAATTATTGCAATTATTATTATTATAACTCACTAACCTGATATGTGTCAATGTATTTCCTTTTTGTTCCACTTCCTTCTTAGTGACGTACCTATCTTCACGTATCCCTATTCAAATTTGCTCGACTACTCGTATTTGTACCTGAACTCTTTGTGTGAGCGTCGGCGAGATGTAAACGGAATGATTACACGTTGTCTAATGACGATTATCTAACGTTGTTAAATAACATGTACTACAAGCTCTTTTCTCTTTCAACCGTTATCGAATAAATTCCAAGAAACGTTTAAGTAACGTTCAATCCAAGAGTTCAATAAACGTTTTGGATAATCGTAAGTTCACCGTGAGGACTTAGCCGGATCGATGAAAACTAGTTTTGTATCCATGTGAAACACACGATAACTTATATCACACAATGACGAATAAAAGTTGAAAAACGTTGTTGAGAAACTTTTCACTGACGTTTTTCTTTCCCTCTTGGTCAGAAAATGTTGACAAATTCGCGTTACAAAAATGTTTATTTCGAACGTTTAACTTACGTTTCGGAGAAACGTTTCGTAAATGCATAATTCCAAACAGATCGTCAGGACATATTGTTTTTGATACGTTTATGAAACATTTAGATTCAACTTCATTCCGAGAGTTCAACAAACGTTAGTTTTCCTCGAACAGTTCAACTATAATATAGAATATAGTTTAACGACAACTTATATTACACGCTGACGTATAACAGTTGAAAAACTTTGTTGAAAAACGTTTCATACGCGTTATTTTTTCACACTGGGTAAGGAAATGGTGTCAGATTCGCGTTAAAGAGAGGTTTATTTCGAACGTCTAACTAACGTTTCGGAGAAACGTTTCATGAATGCATAATTTCAACAGATCGTCAGGACATATCTTTTTACGTTCATGAAACGTTTAGATTCAACTTTATTCCAAGAGTTTAACAAACGTTTGGTACAAACGTTAGTTTTCCTTGAACAGTTCAACTATAATATAAAATAAAGTTCAACGACAACTTATATTACACGTTGACAAATAACAGATGAAGAACGTTGTTGAAAAACGTTCCATTCGCGTTCTCCTTTCACTATCGTTCAATAAATGGTGACAGAATCGCGATGAAGAAACGTTCTTTTCGAACGTCTAACTAACATTTCGGAGAAACGTTTTATAAATGCATTATTTCAACAGATCGTCAGGACATATAGTTTTCAATACGTTTATAAAACGTTTAAATTTAACTTTGAACACTTCAACCATATTTCAACGTTGAAGTTGTCAACCATAAACGTCTATCTAACTTGTTCTACGTTGTTGATACGTTGAAAAAACGCACGTGTGTCCATTGGGATAAAACAACTTTCTGATGACTATTCTTCAACTTTCAGTCTTTCATATTTTTCGCTGCTGGATTCGAAACCTCTTCTACCACCATCACGATGACATTGTTCGAGCTGGCACAGAATCAAGAGGCCCAGGACAGAGTGAGAGAAGAAGTGATTAACTGCTTGGAGAAAGATAACAATGATCCGACATACGAAACAATCATGGAAATGAAATACCTTGGGCTAGCTGTAGACGGTACGAGCAACTATTCATTCTTTCATTCACATTTATTCATTCACTATAGGCGACTGAGATTAAGATCGTAGCGCCAGAACGGCGAATGTCGGTACTACTCTATGGGCCATTGGCGGATTGTTTACATTGTTTGGTAATAGTGTTTATGTTCATTTCGTTTTGAGTTTTCAAACGTCCAGCTTTGTTATTTGTCTATTTTCGAACTTTGTATTTTCCAGCGGTCTACTGTGTTTTGATTGAGGACTATATTATCTCTGTTCAACAGTAGATATCCTCCCTACCTCTAGTTGAACTTCATATATACCAACATCATTTTTATCATTATTGAACAAGAATTCTCATGAAAACCTGTGTGGGATGTTGATTTCCAATTCGAATATATAGCTGGGATATTCCCCTGATAGTGCATGATATTTTTAAAACAAAATCCAGCAAACTTTTTTGGAATAAAGTGTTCTTTGGAATGTGAATTTAGGTAAACAGTTTCTACTTGACTTTTTACAACATAATCATCGAAACCCTGATTGATAACATTCTTTACTGTTTAAAAATTCTACTGTTAATGAGTAAAGATATAACCAGTTTGAAATTTGTTTGTTCTTTTACCACCACCTCAAGAAGTAGTTATTATATTCATAATAGACATACATTTGAAAATATACCTATAGGTATAAGTAAATTTTCAGTGAAGTGTAAAGAACAATATCTCATTATGTTCAGACACTTTACACTTTTTCCAATCTTCAAGTTATGAATCCACACCTTTCTCCTACCGATCACTTCCTTGTTTCCCAAATTATTAGTTTCGAATACAAATTTAGACTGTCCTGATTTTTGAAAGGAATGAAAGCTATACTTGGGATTTTTTGCTCAAGATGAACAATGAAGCATTCAACAATGATGACTCATGTTTTTAAACGTTTATAGAAGTTCTCAAACAAAATTATAGACAATTAAAACACAACTACTTCTCATACAAAATACACGAAAACTAAAGTAAACAAAGCAATCAATGGCCCATACGTTAGTTATATTAGACAACGGTAGAGGGAGTACTCCTTAGCATGAATCGCCTATAGCTTTTACCCGCAGCTTCGCTCTCATTGAAGCCCTTCAATAAATATCCAAGATCATTGTATTCCACTAGAACTGAAACAAAGTGATTCAGTATTTAAAAATTACTACATACAATGAAGTTTCAAAAACTGAAAACATGCTTTATTGATTTTTCCAGATTTTTCCTGGGATTTTTTCTCCTCGTCTCTATAAAATAAAAATATGAATAATATTTCAATATACGTGTAGTTAGAACAAATCAGATGATTTGCCCCAAAATGTCACTGCGTTTATAGAATTTTCCTATCAGAGAGCCTAAAGAAAAATTCTCTAGCTTGAAGAATTTTCCTATCAGAGAGCCTATAAGGAAAATTCACTAGCTTGTCAGTGAAAATTTGTATCGGAAAAGGTATGAAGAGGAGAAATAAAGGGTAAATAGAAAAAATATCGAATTTGTACTTATCTTTGGACGTTTTGGGAACGAATCTGCTCCCGTTTTCAACATAAAAAATGGAGTTTTTGTATGGCAAATTCGTATTTGTCCTGACACTTCTCAGTTTTTGTGACAATTGGTGACGTTTGCAATCGAATGAGTTACAGGATGTTTTCATTAATAATTCTTGCATTTTCTAGAACAATAAACTGGTTGGGACATGACTTGACTGTAGACTCCTGGGATAAAAATAGGTTGATTTTAGCCAACTTACCTATATCCAAAATCGTTCCGTTAAGTTGGTACAAGGCGTTCTCACCTTAGGTCCTGAATAATTATCACTAAATTTGTTAGGCGAGAGTTCTTGTAAAGCCCGCGAGGACACTAGCGTCTGCGGACCGCCGCAAGTAATAACTCCGTGGTAGGGGAACGTTAGTTAACTTGTGTCGAGTCTAATATAAGGAAGGAATTTTTTTTTAACAATCAATCGACCTAGATGAACCTTTTTTCTTGAAGAAGGAGAATTTTTCTTGAGGAAGGAAAATATTGTTTCTGCATAAAAAATGAGAAAACCTAACCTATCTATTTTATGAGTATATCTGTACTTGTTTCGTTGACCTGTGTAAAACTTAATGTTTATTAACACCAAATAAAATATTCTATTCTTTTCTAACCTAACCTAAGCGAACCTCACCTCTGGCCTAAACATAGAAAACCCCTAAATGAACCTATTTTCCATAGAGAATATTTTTTAGAAATCACTTGAGAACAAGAAAAAAAAAAAAAAAATGAGCCTCGCACGGATTCGAACCCCGGCCCGCCGGTTTGACATGCCAATTTATGCTTACTGAGCCAACCAGTTGCTTACGAGACGAAGTATGATGAAGTCATTCAGTCGCAGACGCTAATCGCGAGGACCAGCAACATATCGGTTTATTCACGATAGAAGTAAATTGTAGCCATGATCAATGAACAGTCCGACTAATTAGATTCATTTTCAAAGATGCGCAAGATGCATCAGAACGGAAATTATTTATTTGCAAATGAACCTCGAGACTCATCAAAGATTAACAAGATACAAAAAATATTTCTGAAGGGAATTTCTATCTGAAAAAAAAATTGCAAGTTTCCTGTCCCAGACAGCACCAGATATTCCATAAATCTCCCTATCATATTCTTTTTGGAATATTGAAATATTCTAGGAATAATCTGGAATATTCCGGAATATCTGTGGAATATTCTCTAAATATGCGAATGGGAATTCCTCAGATATTCTATGTTGAATGTTCGCTTCGCTCGCACGTTAAAATATCTCGATCATTAATCGCCCCCATTAATACACTAGTTGGTTAAAATAACTACTGCATTCACGTATGTATTCTCACTTTAGATCATATAGAAAACACTATTTTTCAATTCTGTGTGTTATAGTACCTATTCAGGGGCGCGCCTAGACACTTCGCCGCCCGTGTGCAATATGTTCTGGGCCGCCTTCGAAAACATTGAAAATAAAACAGATTTTGAAAACTGGTATATTTTGGGAACTGAAAAGTAACGAATAACATATCTAACTCGTTTTAAGATGTCTCTAGAGATGATTTCATTTACGGAACATAGCATAACCTATTAATAATCATAAGTAACATAACAAATAATTTACAAATAGTAAAATTAACATTGATTCATCAACATATGAGGTTCAGGTTATAGGTACTTCGAAAATATAATTTTTCTCGCTTTCTGCTGCGAGCAAATTCTCTGATGAGCACGTCAACATCAATTGTTTCTAATAATTCAGATTCGATGGATATGGAAGCAACTTAAATACAACTGCGGAATGAGACTGAAATATTTGGAAAGCTGCTCATTAAATGTATATACTATAAAATTTGTTGTGGATCATTTTCTATATTTTCATGACATATCACTTTCAATGATTTTATTTCATTAAATAAATCTATCCCATCTATATATTCTTCCTGAGGATCTTCATTTGTTAACTTTTTTTGCAAATTTTCACAACTTTCGAGAAAACTTGTTTCATCAAAGTCCTTATACCGAAAGCTAAGTGAAGAAATCCAAAGACTCGAATTGTGAGAACATATTATTTGGTCGGTGATGACATGAAAAAAAATATCTTAAATTGGTGTCTTCAATCGTTAATTTGATAATCATCATCTCACTCACAATCAAACAATTTTGGTCTCTTTCTTCTTCGAGAAGGTTCTGATGAGTCTGTTTCGAAATCTGAATGATCAGCTATAGTCCGAGAATCTTCAAAATTTTTTGAATAGTTTTCATCGGATCTGAATGCAGCAAAAAAATTCAATTGATCAAGACATACTTTGATATTGAGTGTAGAACATTGGAAAAATTTGCTGAAGATTGGAGAAATTTGGAACAGATGCATCGAAATTTATTGATTTTGTTAGCCAATGAAAATATTCAATGTTTAGTCGACGAATCGAAACTATCATCTTGAGATACTTCCACGAGTGGATTAAAAATGTCCTTAGTTATATGCCAAAAAGGCTTAATGGCATCGTACGCGATATCGCAAAGACAAAATGTTCATACAATTGAATGTAGTCCAATGGCTATAAAATCCCGCGACGACATTCAATACTCAGCTAATGCGAAGCGATGGTATAGTATATCGCGAGAAATCATACCGTTATCGTCCTGACTCCTGTGGGCCATCAGCTTGAGAGATGTTGTTTGTTCTTATTTGTTATTCTATCAAGTGTTAAGTCGTTGTTGATTTACTAGATTTACTGAATGGGATTGACATTTTATCACGAGGATTTTCATATTCTACAGAGTATTATTATGTTCAAGATAATATGGAGTATTTAGTATCTCGTGATTAGGATTGGCCGCCCCTAAGGGTGGCCGCCCGTGTGCGGTGCACGCAGTTGCCACTGTATAGGCGCGTCCCTGTACCTATTGAAGGATTTTGTAATTGCTCATATGTTTTCAATATTCACACTATTCTATTCCATTTTATTCTATTCTAATACTTTAGTCATTTCCACGAGAGTACTACTAGGTATTTTAGGATCCAGAAAAAAAAACAAGAATCTACTTCGGAATGAGATGCCTTCTTAGTTTTGAGGTATTTACAATGTCGAGAATGCTAATACTCCTATAGTATGAGAAGGTACTTCATTTTCATTCATACCACCCCTAATATGGGATCTAGATCGCATTGTGATGCTTTACCACTCATCAGAAAACATCTGTTCGACTTCAATTATTCCAACCAGGAACCAAAAAAAAAATTATACGAGGTACCCTTCGTGAATCGATTGTCAGCTGGCCAGTGCAACTGATGAGACTTATGGCAAGTCCAAACAGTCTGTCTTGCATCAGCTGACAATAATCGATTCACGAAATTTCCCTAGAATCTCTTAGTCTTGAGATTGTAGGTTTATCACCATCACATTAAACCACTTTGAGAATAACAGGTGTTGCGATAGTCTACCGAATCTGACATGGATTCCTTTTCTGTAAGCAATTAAGCATATACAGTGTCATTCATAAAGTCGGCATCATATGGGAAAAACTTTTATTAATGTCTTATTTTGGAATTCGAGTTGGACGTTGAGTTTTGCTTCAAAAAAGATAAGAAATGGCGTACTCAATCGGGGTCACGTGACTTACGTAACATGTCAAAAGTGACATTTTTTCAAATTGATCGCTGAAAGTAGGCTTATTTGTTCGAATATCGAAAAAGTTTACTTGAAAAAGTTGTTTCTATTTCAATTTTACACATGCTTCTCGAATTTGATCCTTCTATTGCAACTTTACGATTTTCATTTTTTTTTAATTTTTCAAAATTTCTGTAATATTTGAAGAATTGTTAATTCCACGAAACTACTTCATACCAGTAGCTTTTTCATGCTTCTTACTTTCAATTACTTATTATCACTGATTATGGACAGAAATATGATTTTCTTCAGAAAATGATAATACCCGCTTCCAAATTCTGTTATGTTTGATGTAAAGTTTATATATCGTCAACCATTTAGAAACGAAATTCATTTAAACTGATCTTTTCAGTACTGAAAAAATAAATTCAAATGAATTTCGTTTCTAAATGCTTGACTCAAACATAACAGTATTTTGATGTTATGTTTGCATCAAACATAACAGAATTTTAAAGCAGAGATTATCATTTTCTGAAGAAAATCATATTTTTGTCGATGATTAGAAATAATTAGTAATTGAAAGTTAGTAGCATGATGGAGCTACTGCGTATGAAGTAGTTTTATCGAATTTACAATTTTTCTAATATTACAGAAATTTCGAAAATTTTCCAAATATATCGAAATCTAAAAAATGTGATAGAAAGATAAAATCCGAGTCACATATGTAAAATTGGAATAGAAACAACTTTTTCAAGTAAACTTTTTCGATATTCGAACAAATAATCCTACTTTCAGCGATTAATTTGAAAAAATGTCACTTTTTACATGTAGCGAAAGTCACGTGACCCCGATTGAGTAGGCCATTTTTCATCTTTTTTGAAGCAAAACTTGACGTCCAACTCGAATTTCAAAATGAGTCATTGATAAAAGTGTTTCCCATATGATACTGGCTATATGAATGACACTGTATGTACATAGACGTAGATGGAATGGAGGTACCCTTCGTGAATCGATTGTCAGCTGGCCAGTGCAACTGATGAGACTTATGGCAAATCGAAACAGTCTGTCTTGCATCAGCTGACAATCGATTCACGAAATTTCCCTAGAATCTCTTAGTCTTGAGATTCTAGGTGGAACATTAAACCACTTTGAGAATTACAGGTGTTGCGATAGTTTACAGAATCTGACATGGATGTCTTTTCTGTGAGCATATAGACGTAGGGGTCTATATGCACGACTTACTCGCAAGGTATGTGATGAATCTACCTATACACCTTTGCGCTTAAGCCACTAGATGGCTATGAAGGCTAGATCGTCCTTCTGCCCCCTCAGGGCTTCGACTTGAATAATTAATCATTTCAAGTTACGAATTTCAAGGCGGACATTGTATTCTTTCAGAAACTCTGAGATTATGGCCCCCGGTGACAACCCTAACAAGGGTGTGTGTGCAGGATTACAAGTACCCAGATGGTGACTTCAGCGTTGAAAAGGGAAGAACCGTAATCATCCCAGTTCTGGGACTGCATAGAGATCCTGACTATTTTCCAGATCCGTTGAAATGGAATCCAGACCGATTCGCCGATAAAAATCAGAAATCCGTCGCGTATTTCCCGTTCGGAGATGGACCTAGAAACTGTATTGGTGAGTTGCCTTGCAATATTATCAAATTTGAGAAAACAAAATGCAAATCAAAACCTACAAGATGACACTAACAGACTGTTGGCCCGCGACACGTATCATGGGGTTCACCGTTGTTCTAAGTCGGTATGCCATTTCAGGGACCCACTCACTTAGTCCAAGTTGATAGGGAGAAGTGCCTCGGAGAGTCGCAACCCAGTCCTTGCCTTGGCTTGGCCCTGACCCCACCTTTCGGTTGGAAAAAAGTTCAAAATTTTGTTTAAAAAGAAGATCGGCAATGAAATGCAATGATCTTATCTAACAAAAATTGGAGTGCTTGTCGGTTTGCATACGCCTAGGTCACTCCCCAAGGGCGGCATACGAACCGGAAGTGGCAATTTTTCAATGTTATAGCACAGCTTAAGTAGGTAAGCTGTGGTTATAGTCGATGATCGAAGAATGTATGCCCTTTGGCGAAACAATGAATTCTGATTCATTAATCAGTTTCCTGACATTTGCATACGATCCCGGAGAGGGGAGCTCGACTTATTCGAACATCAATTGACTAGACATCTTTCAAATAATCGACGATTTAAGTTCGTATGCAAATCTCTAGACCGATAAACTAGGATATTCTTTATAACTGGATGCTATTTCCATACGAATTCAATGTGAGCATACGTTGTAATAATCGGGCAAACCCGCGCGTGCCTCGGTCCGGCGCGGCGCCTCGCACTGCAGGCCAGAGGTGCACCGAAAGCGAACTAGATAATCTGGAAGTCTCATAATCTTACTTCACATGAAACCGGGTCAAATATTGACTTCCTGGGAGTGATGGAGGTATTCGAAGACGCAAATTGCAGATATATTTGTATTTATTCATCAGAAATTTACAGTTCAACAAAATTACATGTGCGTGAGAGGTTTAGTACCAAGAAATTTTTTTCTGTGATTTTGATTTGAAAAACAGGGCTTTGAAAAGATGATAAAAAAAATTCCCGACAAAATGCTCGCTGAACTTCAATCTACATTTTTGTTTTTCACATAAAAAAAAATAATTTGGAAATTAAATTATATTAAATGAAAACAACATTATATTTCAAATGAAAAATTATACGTCGTCCCCTCTCTATCGATGTCTGAAGATGATTCTTCAGAGTTGTCATCAGTTCCTGTTAGTTAGAATATCATTTTGAATGGATATAATTATTGAAAAATCTTGGCATGATCGAAAGATATACCTGATACTTTCTCAGTTGGAGTCTTAGAGATTATGATGTCACGAACCTCTGCTGGAAGGGCTTCATCAAGGTACCAATTGAAATCGTATTGCGTGTAAATGATATCGCTAGATGCTGTAGACCTGTATTCGTCATGATAATCTCAACTCGATAGTGAAATAAAATATAGTGTTCCAGTAAAAAAAAATCAACAACTACCCCATAGTTCATTTGTTATGAAGAGCCTGTGAATTTTTCAATAACAATGTGTATTCATCATGATAATCTCAACTCGATAGTGAAATAAAATATAGAGTTCCAGTAAAAAAAAACAACAACTTCCCCATAGTTCATTTGTTATGAACAGCCTGTGAATTCTTCAATAACAATGAAAAATCCTAAGGAAAATCATTTTAATTGGTTTTTGAAATTTTAAAATCGGTTCGGAAACAACTAAGTTACAATGGGAGATATTTATGGTGAACCACCCTGTACGGAATGTGCAAACTGTATGCAAACCATCATCTCAAATAAACTGTGTGGTCCACTAAACATTGTCAAAATTTGAACATTTCTTCGATTATCGATTATTTGAAGGATATCCAGTCAAATGATGTTCGATTAAGTCGTGCTCCCCTCTCCGGTATGGTATGCAAATGTCGGGAAATTTATTGATGGGTCCCAATTCATTGTTTCGCCAAAGGGCATACATTCTCAGATCATCGACTATAACACTGAAAAATCGCCACTTCCGGTTCGTATTCCGCCCTTGGGGAGTGACCTAGGTGTATGCAAACCAGCAAGCGCCCCAATTTTCGTGAGATAAGATCATTGCACTTCATTGTCGAGATTCTTCTTAAACAAAATTTTGAAGTTTTTTCCGACCGAAAGGTGAGGTCAGGGCCGGGACAAGGACTGGGTTGCGACTCTCCGAGGCGCACTTCTTCCTGTTAACTTGGACTAAGTGAGTATAGGTCCCTTAAATGGCATACCGACTTATAACATCGACAAACCCTGGGTCGCGGGCCAACAGTCTATAACAATTTTTTTCCTATTTCAACTTTAACGACAGCGATTGTCAAATTTTTTTTCCGAATGGCAACACATATATATTTTTTTTCTGATAGATATTATTTTTATGATTACAATGGTGTATAACAAGTTGATTTTCGCGTAAAATTAGTTGAAAAAATGTATGCTCCGTCGGCCAGAAATGGGTCTTTTTATTCAATTCTCTATTATCATTAATGAGGGTTCAGTCCGTTACGTATGAAAATAGTTATTTATGTACCGAGGACGGGGAACTGTCTATTATAGTCGGCAATAGAGGTACATATTACATTTTTTCGTCAATCTCAAACACTCACATCCACATCCCGGTCTCATTCATACTTGAAATCTATCAGATTTGGTGAATAATTAATCTGACAAGAACAAATGATAGTTGTTGTCAACTCACTCTCCGCGCGGACCAGGGTTGCCAGTTCGATATTTATTTCATCAGTAAATACCTTGTCAATGATCTATTTTTTGCTATACGAATTCCAAGAAAGTATAATGAAATATACCTATGACGCCAAAACATTATGTACTTTTAGTAAACAGCAAAGTAACCTATTTCCAACACAATAGAAACAAACAAAACAAACATTCTCAAAGAAACATCATATTCCTTATTCTCAATTTGAAAATACTCAGAAATATTACAAAATATAGATTATAGGTACTACTAGATTCGAGTATAAAAAAAACACGAACGAATATTGAAAATGAACAACAATAAATAATGAAAAAAATTATCATAAGAAGCAAACTGTTATAACAGAGGTAAGTATATAAAAAATTGAATTTGATCTCAATCAGATGAAGTATTGTCCTTTTTGATTTATACATATCATTAGTACCTGCTTATATGTGAATGAATTACTTCTTTTGTGAAATTAATTTAAACATAGCGTGACGAAGTATCATGCAATTTATAAGTATATGTGATCAACTGGTTGATAATAACATAGATTTTTTTTATCGCTTGGAGTTGGAGCGCACGAAAGGGAATCCCTATAATTTTCAAAGAACATCGTGCGTTCCTAGGGAGGATAGCGATAGGAGGGAGGTATTGGAATTGTTTTCGAACTCCTGGAGATTATATGTTGTTGGGAATACTTCCTCAGGCAATGAATTCCAGAGCTTAGCCGTTCTATGGATGAAGGAGTTTTGATAAAGTGCTGTTCGACATCTTTCGAGGTTGACAACGAAAGGATGTGCTGACTGGGCTTGTCTAGTTCGTCTGACTGGTATTGCTAATGTCGAAATATTTTCCAGTAGGACATGAATTGTTCCTGTAGATCAGTAGATCTATATGCAAAACAAGAGATCCAGACTAATTTCAGTAGACCCCTCTGCAGCGGAGGAAAAGTTATTGTCTGCGGACGAAAAGTACTTACTTTCGGAAAAAGTCGGTATTGGCATTCTCAAATATCGGATAAAATAATATAATTTACTATGACATCTGACAACTGACATCTGAGAATTATTATTTGTTGACATACTCCTGTCAATTCTCAATTTCAGAGTGTTATCATTTCTCATGTTCTGCTTTTGGATGTTCAACAAATATAATTCAATGTTCGACGTGGCAAATAGCCAGAAAAGTAGTTGTTTTCTGTTGAATATCCAGAATGATATTATGTGCATATATACATATTTTTATCTGAAGGATAATGCAAATTCTCGACTATAGAAGATTTTGTTTCCAAATTCTTATAGTGTGTGTTCAACAATTTTCACAAATTCATTCTACTAAAGTTGGTACCTATATATACAAGGTGTTTTTGAAATAAGTGCACATATTCATAGCATATCAATAAGATACATAATAATGTGATCGAACGACTACAGTTAAATGAAATTAAAAAAAATAATTCAATAATAGCTCAATCTCTCAATTTTTTACAAATTCATTCAGCTAAAGTGGGTAAAAATATATTATCTCACAAGAAACTTATCAATTTATAGAATGAATTCGACGTAATCCGAAGTTAATTGTGAATGTCATTTTACCTATAAACATCAAAAAATGTCCAGTGTAATTTCATCCTTAGGACGCCCTGTCGGGAAATACAGGGCATCCATAGGACGTTCGAATTTGGTACCGTGGACGTCCATTGGACGTCTGTGGGACGCACAAATGTCCCACTTGAGGACCAACTAGGGACGTCCTTGAGGGATATGTCCCTGGGACAACTATCGAATACCTAAATCCTACAGTATTCCTCATCAAGCACTACAGAGGACATCCTTAGGACATCCATAGAACAACCTATTAGCAACGCTGAGGGATATCAATTGGATGTCCCAGGGACGTACGAATTATTCTTGAATTTGAATTTTTCTGGGCCCCTCCAGGACCAGATCTTGCATAACTGATTAGGACATCCAGTTGAGTTGATGGTCCGTAGAAGGTCCCCAAAAATTTTCCCAAGGATGTCCAATGAACGTACGTGAAGGACATTGACAAGGAGTACTTATAGCTTACGAGCAATCATTCGTCGGCGGGGTGTAAGTTAATGTCCTCGAAGGGACAACATTTTGAAATTACCGACTGGGACGTCCATAGGACGTTATTTCTAGGACATTGGAAGAGTACAGTTCATGTACCAATTGGGACATCCGACGGATATCCCTAAGGAACATTTGAAGGATGTCCCTAAGGGACATTTCGATTGTTATACGATCCTGGAAATATTAAGTGCGTCTATGCAGAGATATTCCAAGGAATGTACCATCAGGGTCATTTCATGGTTGTTTAGAAAGGACATTATATAAGATCTGAAGTCATGCCAGAATATGTACTACTCGGGACATCCGATGGATGTCCCTAAAGAAACGTTCGAAATTATATCCCATCAGGGACGTCTAAGGGATGCTATTTCTAGGACATTTGAAATGATGTACCAGCTGGGACATTCCGTGGACGTCCTTGCTCAGACATTGCATGAGATGTACGGGATAGGACGTCCCAAGGACACTTATTTTTGGTTCGGGACATTCGGACCTGAATTGTACCAAATAGGGACGTCCCTAGGACGTTGTGTGCTATTAGGGAATTCCTCAAGAAGGAAAATAACATGTTCAGTTGCTATATATGTTAACGATACACAAAATAAAGGCTTTTGATTGATTGAATCCACATAAAAAATCGGAAAGAATGTTGTTTGGTTTGAAAAAAGTCCAATGCCACGTGATTTCTCAATGATTCATGAAAACACTATATACTATCAACAATCATGTAATATTATTATTTTTGTAGGTATGCGATTCGGATTGATGCAGGTGAAACTAGGTTTAGCAATCCTCCTGAAGAACTACAAAGTTTTTCCAAGTCCAGCCACTGAAACACCACTGGAGATCGATCCAGACACCTTCGTTATTCATACCAAACAACGTGTATATTTGAAGTTTGAAAAAATTTAGACTTGTCACTTTTGCCAATTACGCAAGTTGTAACCATCATGCAGTTATCATTCTGGAATGGATGAAACTTATCCAAAGTGTTGTAATATAGTTACCAGTAGGCATCAACAATCTCCTTAGTGTAGATCAAAGTTCTTTGATGGATTCGACATTTTTGTCTTGAACGTTTTTGTTTTTATGAGTTGCGTGCAAGATCTGTCAGATGACCGACCCTGGAAGTAAAACATTGAAACATAACCTCACTTTTCTTATTTGTTTCCGGAGGATTGAATTCGTTTTTCACAGTTTTCATTGTGAAATTGTGTCATTCCTCATTGAAATTCCTTCTGCGAAAGGAGCTAATAAAGATGCTCGTGGAGTTTCTAAAAGAAGGCAAGAAGATTGTATTCCCTTCCATGTTGGCATCATAGGGAGCGAGAGATCTGACAGTCTAGCACTAGTCCAGTCATTATATCCAAATAACGGACCTTACCCGTGAATAATTTTTTAGTGGTTTTTTTTTCCATAGGTGTCTCGGGAAAGTCACTGGGAGTGTAAATTCAAAATGGCGACCAAATCAAGCTTTTGCGTATGTTAAAAAACGGTTTTTCTTGAATAACTCGGTCATTTTTGATTCTACAGAAAAAGTTTGGGGACAAAAATTGTAGTAAATTTAGTTCTCTACAAGTTTGGTCGTCACAATTTTTCTGATAGGATCGATATTTTGTAAATTAAACCTGAAAAAAGCGACAAATTCGAAATATTTTCATTATCTCGTTGATTTTCAACTTTACGACATAAATGAACAGGAACAAACTTGTAGAGAATCAAATTTTGGACAAATTTTGTCTTCACCTGTTTTTCAGAAAATCGATATTTTCGGAATTAAACCTAAAAAAAAACGACTCATTCGAAATATCATCATTATCTCGTTTATTCTCAACTTTACACCATAAATGAGAAGAAACAAACTTGTAGAGAATCAAATTTTGGACAAATTCGGTAAAAAAAAATAGTTCCGGAACCATTTTTTCACACCGACATGACAGAAAAGCTACCTGCGCGGAATAACCTCTTCATTTATGCCGTAAAATGCGAAGCATTGGCGATAATGATAATCTTTTGAATTTGTCGCGTTTTTCAGGTTTAATTCCCAAAATATCGATCCTATCATAAAAATTGTCATGATCAAACTTGTAGAGAACTAAATTTACTACAATTTTTATCCCCAAACTTTTTTTGTAGGATCAAAAATGGCCGAGTTATTCAAGAAAAACCGTTTTTTAACAAAAAAAAACATACGCAAAAGCTTGATTTGGTCGCCATTTTGAATTTACACTCCCAGTGACCCCCCCGAGACACCTATGAAAAAAAACCACTAAAAAAATTATTCACGGGTCAAAGTCTATAATGACTGGACTACACGCGATGCATCAAACCAAGCAACCTATCATCCGAGAAAAGAGTTCACACAGATCTGAAGCAAGCTTTCAAACATGCCATCATCACAGCATGGCAATCTCAATGGGACCTTTCGTTGTCAAAACTTGCAGAAGTTAAACCATCCGTACGTCCTAGGGAATATGTTCCGAAGAAAAGAAATCACCAGGTTATAGTGACCAGACTCAGGCTAGGTCATACCAGACTGACACACGAGCACATCATCGCTCGTACTCCCGAACCAATTTGCGAAGTGTGTGAAACTAATCTGACAGTGAAACATATATTAGTGGAATGCCCCCTTTATTATCTTGAAAGACTGAAGCACCATCTGCCAAGGGATTTGAAAGACATATCAGGTGAAGAGTGTAACTTACAGCAACTATTGGCATTTCTCAACGACATAGGCATATATACCGGGTGTCCCATTTTAATCTTTATTTGGAAATTGCTCGAAATGTATGCATCTGACAAAAAAAATTGACGAATAAAAGTTGTATGGTTTGGAGGGGGACGTCTGGTTATGAAACAAGTTTCACCCCCTGACCCCCAGGGGAGTAAGAAATGGAGGTAACATTGAAATCTTTAATGGAAACCCCTATTTTTTATTGCAGATTCTGGAAGAGCATTAAAAACTATGAAGCTTTTATTCGGGAACTTCTTTTTTATTTTCACAAGATGGCGCTGCGATCGTAAAAAACTATATTTCACTATTTACACATTTCAACCCCCTGAAGACGAGGAAGAGTGTAGGGTGTGATATTTTCCCAGACAAACGCCATTGGGGTGATATTCACACGACAAATTAACGCTAAACGAACTTACTCACCTTGACACCTCTACATAGAAAAGAGACAAATAAGCATGGTTCAGCAATTAAGGTATCATTTAGGTCAGACTAAAGCTGGTTTTAAGTGAGATTGACTACTTTATCAAATGTTCGAAATGACCTCCATTTTCTTGAATACACAAGTTCACTCGTTTTTCAAAATTTCGCACTGTCGCTTCCAACATAGCAGGCGTTAAAGCCATGCACGCTCCTCTAATTCTATCTTTCATATTCTCGCGTGTGCATGGTTGGGGGTTCGCGAAACACATTGTTTTTGATGTAACCTCACAGAAAGAAGTCTGGGGAAGTCAAGTCGGGTGATCTGGGTGGCCAACTACAAACTAAATAGTAAAATATTGTTTTTCAAGATCGCAGCGCCATCTTGTGAAAATAAAAAAGGAGTACCCGAATAAAAGCTTCATAGTTTTTAATGCTCTTCCAGAATCAGCAATAAAAAATAGGGGTTTCCATTGAAGATTTCAATGTTACCTCCATTTCTCACTCCCCTGGGGGTCAGGGGGTGAAACTTGTTTTATAACCAGACGTCCTCCTCCAAACCATACAACTTTTATTCGGCAATTTTTTTTGTCAGATGCATACATTTCGAGAAATTTCCAAATAATGATTAAAATGGGACACCCGGTATAATATCTTGATGTAATTTCATATCGCTAATAATCTTATAATGGTTGATGCGATTTCTTTCTTTAAATAATAAAAAAATAGATTGTATTCATGCAATCAAAAAAATCAGGACTGGTCTGACATGCTGAAGAAATATGATCGTGTGTGTTGTAGAAATTTTCACTATATTACTTCTATAAGCAGTATAAGCTTCCATTGCAGGAGTGGTAGAAGGAATCCTAATTTTTATTGAGAAATGACAAAATTTCATAATGAAAACTATGTGAGATCATTATTTACCTGAAACATCATATTCCTTCGCCTCTCGCTGCATTTTTGTGCATTGTACAGCAGCACAATGTGCTGGCATGCTTGAATTAATGAATAGCCAAAAAACACCATTCGTATGCAAAAATATTGTGAAAAACTATTTCAATCCTCTGATTCCTACGTAAACAAATGAGAAAAGTGAGGTTGTGTTTCAATGTCTTTTTCAGAAAAGTGAGTTTTTGTTTCAATGTTTTACCTCCAGGGTCGGTCATCGTGTATTCTTTCAATCTGAACTAACTGAAATATCTCACTAGAACTGAACTGAATCGTTCTTTCTCATGACGTTCATTATGTAGTGATTATGTACAATGCATGTCAATCGATTCAGTTCAGTCCAAGCCTTGATTATACAGGGTGTTCCGGTGATCATGTTACAAACTTCTAGGGTAGATAAAACACACAAAAATAAGAAAAAAAGTTCATGTGAACATGGGTCCGGAAACGCTTTTTCAGGGAGCTAGGGCCCTTCGAAGATGACCTTCAAAAACTACTTTTCGTTTTATAGCTTCGGTACTACTGCAGCTATCGCAACCAATTTTCGGACATGAAATTTAGTTCATAGGTTCATCAATTTGAGCCTTCTGGATTTTGTCTCCTTTAACCAGGGGCGTTAAACCAGGGGGGTATTTGGGCAAATTTGACCCTACTCCTCTTAGGCTTTAATGTCTTACCATTTTTATATCTGATTATGATTCCCCAATGCCTTTTACATAAAAAAGGTTCTCTTGTAAAAATCGCCATCTGTCACCGTTTCCTCCGAAAATGGCTAAATCCAATCAATAATAAATTATTGGTCTTAAACCAATTATTACGTTGAAATATGAAAATGGTTTGTACGCCCCTGTTTAAAGGTGACAAAATCCGGAACGCTCAAATTGATGAACCTACGAACTAGATTTCATGTCCCAAAATTGGTTGTGATAGCTGCAGTAGTACCGAAGCTATAAAACGAAAAGTAGTTTTTGAAGGTCGCATCTTCGAAGGGCCCTAGTTCCCTGAGGAAGCGTTTCCGGACCCATGTTCACATGAACTTTTTTTCTTATTCTCGTGTGTTTTATCTACCCTAGAAGTTTGTAACATGATCACCGGAACACCCTGTATACACTGTTCAATGGTTCGAGTGGAATGTGTCAGTTAGTTCAGAATGAAAGAATATCCCGAATGTCATGCATAACCATAAATGATTTCATGCGCCCAGTTTAGCGAGCTCAAAGTGACATTTCAGCGCCCGTGGGCCCATTATGGCCCGCGGGCCGTAAAGTTCACTTTATCGCCTGCTGTTCTTGAATTTCTTCCAACCATATATCAAGTCATGGAACACGTATATCATTTGCTTTCTTAGCTGATTCTATAAATATTAATTAGCGGTACCTATTTAAAAGAAATAAGACATTTGTTGCAGTTGTTCTGAATTTTCGTACCTACATTACATATTTTTTGTTATATTTTTTAATCATGCTTACCCATTTTACGTATCTTTCGTATTTTTTTGTATTTTTGTTGTTGTTTTACGTATTAAAAATTTCAACCCATCAGTCAACCCGTCTAGTAGTTGACGTACCGACAGCAGCGCCACCTACCGAATCCAATTGTATCTCCTAATCATCCAGGAAACCATCGAAATATCCATATAAAACCTCGACTGTTCAGCCGCTTAGAAGTTATACAGTGTGACCCACTTCTAATGGAACCACCCCTGTATCTTACGTAATCGTTGGGTAAGGATCCTGAAATTTGCTGGAGCGAGAAATATACCAAAAATGCACTTTATGACCAAGTGGGGTCATCTTCAGTGATATACACTGCTCGCCAACAGCCATGAAACTACCCCAATTTCCGGAAAATGATATTAGGAGTCAAAATAGGTCGAAAATCACTTCAGATTTGGAATCAGGGCGCC